GCCGAAGATGGCAAAAAGTCATCAGAACCCTGTTCTCTTGTCTTTGGCCTTGAAATGGTTTGAAAGCATGACACCACACACTTTTTGTGAATTGAAGAGCTTGTTAGAGAGCCATACACCTGAGTCTGTCACATGCTTGTTTCATAAAAGGGGAGGGACTGGCAGGGCTGGAGACCTGACTCCACACAACTACTCGCTGGCCTTTAAAAAGGCATTCTCTTCCGCTGGCGACACCACCTTGGTGGCTAGACGTCTCTGTCTGTACTTGTCCTTTCCTGCAAAGTTGGCTAACATCAGCTCTGCTTCATCCCCAAGGCAGAGGACACCCTGATTCTTGCAATGAGTAGCTATTAGATTCTTCACTGAGGCAGGATTTGTGATGCAAACATTTGCCAGTAGGCAAGTAACTTCAAGCCCACCACCCCATTTACTCCTCCCCCTCAAAATTGGCCAACAACAGCCAAGCAGGGTAACCGTGCTGTTGGTAAATCCCCAGATGCTCTGCTTTACAGGTGAGCAAATGTCTGTACCTACAGGCTAATTACTTCTTGTGCTGGCAGAAAGGCCCTTCATTACTTTGGGAGAAAGCTGCAAAAATGCCAACGGGTAGGTGAACAGAGGGTGGTTATGACTGTGGTGCCTTTTCACCCATCACTAGAAATCAGCATTAACATTTAGTGGCTTAGATTAAGGCCTGTTTTAAGCCATCCACCTAAATTGTCCCTTAAGAGAACGACCTGCCTCATGATACAGTCGAGCATGTATGTACAATGTTTGTTGAGTGCTGATTAGATAGATACAAGGTACTTTGTCAGACAGAGCTGAGGTCCTCTCAGAGTTTACAGTTCAGTGAGGCAGAGAGCAGGCAAGACAGGATGCTGGAACTCGCGACTTTACCACGTCTGCACAGTTCCCTAACTGGGCTCACATGTGAACTGCTCTCCACTTCCCCCACCCCCAGAAAGCTTGTTTCAGTAGGTCTGGGCTGGGGCCTGGTGATACGCATTTTATCCAGTTCTGGAGGTGATCTTGACACAATCAGAGTTTTGTATCCAAGGGTAAAGGGGATGGGAAACTGTCCTTCTTCTGGAATACGATGGGAGGGTTTAAAACAGCAGTGTGACATGATCAGATGTGCGTGGCAGCAGCGCAGAGGACGGTGTCCAGTGAGAGGAGGCCAGAGCCAGGGAGACAGATCAAAGCAGCATGGTCTAGGTGAGACAGGATGAGGTCTACAGCAAAGGCATGGCGGGAGGCTGGGGATGAGGGCACAGCCTGTGCGTATCCCTAGCCCATCCTTCCCTGTGGCCAGGATACACGTGCATCTTACATTTCTTTGTGACTCCTGAACTTGGCCCTCCATGGGAAGGTGCTACAGTGTGAGGGTAAAGGGGGCACGGGCACCAGAACGAGGCTGTCCATGGGGCCTGGACCGAGTTAACATGAGCGGTTAGGGTTCCTTACCTGTTATACTACTACCTGTACCATGGGGTGGAAAGCAGTCAATGAATTAATTCATGTCACGTGCTCAACAGCAGTTCCTGGCACATACTACGTGCTTAAAGAGTGCTAGTAGTATTATAATTATTATAATAATTACTGCCACCTTTAACTCATAGTGAGGACTGTCATTATCCTATATGCTGTGTAAGTCCTAATGTGTGTGTGTGTGTTTTTTTTTTTAACAATCAGACAAACCCAAGTACAAAATCCTGTTCTATTTGGCTAGCCACTCAGCTCTCTCCTTTAATCCTCTGAGAGTGGCCCTTGGGTGAAGAAGGATTTGTGACTTGACCCCTCCAGCCCAAGCACCCATATGTACATTTCCCACTGTCTTCTCTTCAGGGGAACTTGATATGCTACCTTCAGAAGCCACTGTCTCAGCCGAGCAATCATGTCTCATTCATACACTGGGCACAAGCAGACTGTGTGGTGTGTGGTTCCAAAGAGATGAACCGATTACCCTAAGATTTCTGATGTTATTTCACCTTAGCGTACTCTGAAGTTAGAGAATGTATAAAAGACTTGCCAGCATGAAATATGAAGGAAAGCTCCAAAATATTTTACGCTGGGCTGCCAACCTCGTAGAATTGAAATCATTGGTAATTTCAGGGTGAATAATAACACAAAGGGAGCCACTTCAAGATGGAGTCAGAGCTGCCATTCCAGAGAACTGCCTTGCGCATCTTACTTCTCAAACCTTTGCAGTGTTTAAACTGGGTAAGACAACCTTTGGACCAGGCCCAAAGGAGCATCATACTCCAACTTTTTGCAAAGATAACAGGAAAGCAGATGTTATGACTCGCAGACTACAAATTAAAGGCATTCTTGGGTTTCTGCCTGAACCAGTGCTTCTGATAGTATTCTTTTGGATCTCAAATAAACACTTGTTGCCTCTCGCTTTGGGCTTTTATTTTTGGGTTTACAGCAGTATCAGTGTTATCTGAAACCCATTAATACCCTAATTTGTGATTAAATTAAAAAACAAAAACAGAACAATCTACCTAGTGGGAAGAAAAATAATTCAAATTGCTAAAAACCAAGTACTTACTTAATTCAAAGTAATCTGATAAACTACTCTTTACTTTGATGATTCTAGATTTCCTTAAACTTTCTGATTATAGCCATTTTAAAAGCTAAGCTGGAAGCTTATTTTCAGTCTTCTGTTTGTGTTATAAGCATAAATAAGTCTTCTTAAAGATGATCAAAATCATGTCTAAAAAGTGTTCTGGCTGCTTCATTAAAAAAAAAAAGCCTCGTTTCTTAAGATCTTTCAAAAATAGGTCCTTGAAAACTAAAATGAAACATATCGCCAATAATTTTTAAGCGATCTACTTTTTTTTGGTATTTTTTTTAGATTAGAACATTAAATCAACTTTGTTTCCCTTACAAAAATACTTTATGAATCTAGACTCTACTATTCAGCAATAATTCTGATAGGTCTAAAGTTTATTCCCATATTATCTAAATGCAAGAAATTATTTTAAATTAATCAAACAGTAGGGCAAATAGTTAAACCATTTGGGAACTGGAGGGGAGCAGAGTTTGCCGCCCTAAAATGTGCCTCTCGGGCACTGATTTTAATAAGCTGGTTATTTTTAAGAAACAGAAGATGGGGGAAAAAACCTTTGACCTCCCCTACCTAAAAGAATTCAGACAGAGGACCTGCTCCTCCAGGAAGGGAGCTATCATCCTACATACCCACAGTGTAATATGAACTAGGTATGACAGACGGGGAGGAACCTAGCAAGGTCTCTTTGATAAAGTCCTCTCTGTGTCTCATTGTTATAGATGGCCCAGCAAACATTTGTTTAGCAAACATTTGCTTTTCCGTCTACCCGTGAACTGACTTCCTGCCCTCTGAAGTCCCAGACCACAACCTTCCACTTCTCCTGAGCTCCGATGGCACCTAGGCAGCAACTGCCTGATTTGTCCTTGGGTCTCACATCCTCCTGGAGCTAACCCTTGTGTACATGCATAATTAAATTTCATTATTTTGTGAATCTGTTTTATGTCATTTTAATTGTTCAACCAGCCAGAAGAACTAAGAGGGGAAAGGGGAAAATTTCCAGTCCCCCACAGTACTGTGGTTATGTAAGAGAATGTATTTTTAGGAGACATATATTGAAGTATTTAGAGAAAAAGGGACATCATGCTTGCAACTTTCAAATGCATCAGAAAAAAATTAACATGTGAGCGACAGAGAGAAGGATTATGCAAACGTGATAAAACGTGATTAACGTTTGGGGAACCTGGGTGAAGGGTATATGGAAATAATTGGTACTTTTGTTGTAACTTTTTAAAAATCTTAAGTTATGTAGAAAATTTGAAAGAATACTATACGTATTCCATGTATACTGAAAAAAAGAAAAACAGACCACTTGATAAATTATAACTAAAACTTTTGAAGCTCTGCCTGTTTAATTACTTCTTAAACTTGACATACAGTTTATTCTTTAAATCCATATAAGATAGGCTTTACTTAACCTTACCTCGTTTTACTTTCTCACCAGTATATCAGATAATAAAAGAATATAAGGTAAAAAAAAAGAGTGCAAAGCAGGTGCCTTTAGTACAGAGCTCAGGAGAGAGGACAGTCCTCCATTTCACTTTCTCTTCAGGCTCAGGGTCACAAAGCAAGTG